ATGTAGTTGTTCTGCTGGGTAGTGGAGGCATCCGGTATGTTTGTGGGAGAATGTCTGCGCCGCCGTGGTAGAGAGAGGGAGGGAACCACCCCTCGGGCCGACCGCGGGGGTGGGACCTGATGACGTGCCGAATTTCCTGGCAGGCGTTTAGGGCCCAGGAGCCTGGCGCTGAGCAAAGTAAAGCCAGCGAGGTCGACGCTGTGCGGAGTTGCCAGTCGCTCCCGACCTCTTGGAGGCCTCCTGGGTCTTCGTATGACCAGATTTCAGGTAGGCCTGCCGCGTGGGCCACCATATGCCTCCAGACTCCCAGGAGTTCACCCACGAGCCACGTTGGGGTGAAGTCGGAGGGGCCAGGCGGTGTGGGGGAGCACAGGTGCTCGGCGATTGGGGCGTATCGCATGCCCGCTTTGACGAGCTGAATCAACAGAGTCCCGCCCAGGAGGTCGAGGGCGTGCCTGTTGGGTGGCTGGCCAAGATCTGTTCCTGGGTGACTCTGAGGTGAGGCGTCTGCTCGCGGCTCCTCTGGGTTGTAACTCCAGGGGATGGCCAGTCTGTGTCGCAAGTGATGCAGGTTCGTCCTGTGGGATCTCGGAGCATCCAGGTGCCACAGAAATTACATCTCTCTCCTGGGCAGAAAAAGTCCCGCTGCCGTAGTCTGTAGGCTGTTGTGGATCATGGCCAAACGTCGTCGCAACTGTCGCTCCCTTGGATGGGGGCTCCGGGGATGCCCGCGGAACTGCCGGGCATTCCCGAAAGGGCGGCCTCTACCCATGGGACTGGACCTCTACCTGCTTGCCGTCTCGAGTGCACGTCACTTCCCGTGCGTTCGAGGTTCCCTCTCGTGATGGCCCACTGCCTGACGTCCCCGTGGTCCGGAAAGTGGACTATGTTTTGCCTGCGCTCGTGAATCAGGACTCGGTGGGCGTAACCCATGACCTCGTCGCCCATGGGGTCCTGCGTCCCGTCTGCTCGGTCGGGGCCACCGATGTGCAGAGGGGCAGAGTCCTCAGGGGATCTGGTGGGCATGAGCATCCTATCTGTGTCATATCCGCTCGGGAGCTCCATTCCTATGTCGCAGTGGTGGGCAGCTGCGGCCATGGCAACGTACTCGAGCCGTGCTATAGTTGCCTCTCAGTCACTGAGGGGTTGGCTGCGTCCATTCTTTCTCTCCTTACACTGGGATCATGAGTACTGCTCGCAAAGCGGAAGGCGAGGACTTGGACTGGGTCCGGTTGAACGCCTCCCAGGCGCCCCTCATAGTCTCCTCCAGTGATGGACCATACTAGCCAGGTGTGGTCCAGAATGGCGAGGATTGGGGCTGAAGTGGCGACCTCGGAGCAACGTCCAGGGGGGGCTGGTTCTACGGGAGCCGCGCGCACAGGGCTTTCAGCTCGTATGCCTGGATGGCCAGGGCGGCGCCTCCTCCACGCGTGGTGCATGAGGAGCTCCAGGATGCTGATCTCCCGAGATGTTCTCGGCACTCCGCGGTTGGGGACCTCGCGCCATGGCCCCTCAGTGTGCACAAGGTGCCGGCGTAGGGCCCTCATGGTGCCCCCCCTGCCAGAGATTCTGGCGTCTGCAACGCGCGGGCCACAAATGGGTCCGTCCGCCTCCCGGCTGGCCGCCCAGTACGCATTCGTGTGCCCAGTGGCGTCCTGCGCCTTAGCGCTTGGCTGTGGTCGTCAAGGTCTGAGGGGGTGGGCGGGTTCTCCATTCGCAGATCATCTTCCAGGGCGAGATCTGGAGATGGGTAGGAGGGTGAGTCCGTGAGTACGGGACCCCTGTGCGCCGTGTGGCTGACCTCGAGGGGTGCGCCGCTGCTCGTCCCGAGGAGGGGCGCCCGCGCTCTGCCCTGTGACGAGTAGTCAGGTCCACGACGGCGTTCACCGAGCGCAGCGTCAGGGAACTCGAGCCCAGGGGGCAGATCGGGAGGGGGGAAGTCGGGGGAAGAGCTGGTGGACGAGGGAGGAAAGGCACGAGGAGATCCATCCGCCAGGATCGGAGACCTTGCCCGATCGATCGGATCGACATGCGGAGCGGCCCCGACCGCGGGACCGAAGGCGACCCTGGGGGCGCTGGGCGAACGAGGAGGCCCGTCGAGCCCTCCAACGGCCCAACCCGTGGCAAGGAGGAGGCGATCGATCATCCCTGTGGAGGAGGGCGCCTCCCTGCGTTCACTGGAGCCGGGGACCCCCGACTCTCGGACCCCTTCCTCAGGCGCGAGGCAAGGCCCGTGGCCTACCCCTGGGGGGCATCGGGAGGCCGTCGTATCTGCGCGCATACTGAAGACGCTGCCCCGCCCCGCCGCTGCGGGGGCAGGGTTGCAGGTCGCGCCTTCCCTCTGCCAACGGTCCCTGGGTTGGGCGCCGTGCGCTTCTCTCTGCGTGCCGTCGTCCGGTCCAGGGTAGCGACGGAAGGTCGCTCGTTCTGTGTGTATCGCGGGGGGGAGAGCCCCATCCCCTCCTTGAGTGTGGTGCCTAGCGCTCTCGTCTCCAGTGGGTCGACTGGAGGCGGCAGCGCTGGGGCGCACTTGACCACCGTACCCCCGTCCAACCCCCATGGGGGTAGGGCCCCTGCTCCTGGCCCCCCCGTCCGTCTGTTCCCTGGGTCGCAGGCCTTGGGCGTCATCCAGCCTTCCGCCCTCCGCTCCAGGGTTGCGACGGAAGGTCGCACTGTTTCGGTATGTATCAGGGATGTCTGCATCCCCCCCTTCTCCAGCATTATGCCTGCCGCTCTCGGGTGCACGGGGGCGGTTAACTGCTGCGTCGGTGGCGGGATGCCCTGCGCCGGTGGAAGGAGAGGCTCCACCGCTTAACTCGCCAGCGGGGGCGGTCTCACCCAGCGCTGGCGCGCCCAGGGGGAGGGGTTCGGCGGCGGGTTGGCGTGAGCCTTGACGGGGCATGCAGGGGCTGCGGGCAGCGGCTTGCCCGCACCTGTTGCGTATGCCCTCTTGAGCGCCCCCAGGGGATAACAGCTCCCTGCGCACGATATCCGAGTCAACCTGCCCCCTGGGAGGACCGCGGCGGATGTTCGTCTGCCCCTCGTCGGTTGCCCTGAGCGCGACAGGATCCCCGTGAGAGTTTTGTGCCGAAGCGGGGCCCTCTCCCCCCGTAGCCCTGGCAACGCCTGGGGTCGCTCCACTCTGCCCGACAGCGCCTGGGGCGAGGGAAGTTGGACGTCCTGCAGCGGGCATGGGAGCGGCGGAGGTGAGAGAGGCGGTCGGGCTAGACAGGAGGGCTTCGTGCCCGAGGTCCTCGCGTCCAGGGGGGCGGAGGAAGGTCGCAGCGTCGGGTTGTCCTCTGCCAAGGTTGCTACGACCATCCTCCACGGGGGTTAGGTCCCTGGTGCGTTCTACCTCTACACACCGTTCCCTGGTCTGAACATCGCGGGCGTTGCTGCCCGTCGCGGTCCGCTCCAGGGTTGCGACGGAAGGTCGCACTTCTGTGTGAATTGTGGGGATAGCCGCACCGCCCCCTCCTTCAGTGCCACACCTCCCGCTGTCAGGCTCCTGAGGGCGGCCTGGAGTGGTGTCAGAGTCGAGGTGCGCGCCGCGCCCTGAGGACCTGTCTTCCATGCTCGAACCGCTGCTGGGGGCAGCCTCATTCGGGGCGGCTGCGTCCAGAGAGGGGGGCACGGCAGAGTGAGGGCGAGAGCCCCTAGGACGCGTGACGGGGCCGAGGCGACGTGACTGCCCGTCTCCCCCCACTTCTTCTTCAGGTGCGCTTGCTGGGGGTGTCGGGTCCATGCAGTCCCCATCCACTCCCTCGAGGTCTCTGCGTCGGGAGCCGAGGGCAGCTCCCAGCTCGCCGCGCGATTGCCCAAGAGGAGGGGGGTTCGGGGGAGAATGAACTACTTCAGGAGTGGGCCCGTCGGCCCCCGTAAGTCTAGTATCGCCACGGGCGGTCCCACAGTGCCCAGCGCTGCCTGGAGAAAAGGAGATTGGGCGCCCAGCCGTGGGCAGAGGAATAGTGGGGGTAAGGGAAAGGTAGCTGGGCGGGAAAGCCTCATGTCTGACAATACCTCCAAAATGGCGACGGAAGGTCGCGCTTTCAGTGTGAAACGGAGGGCTGAACGTATCAGCCCCGTCTACTGCTGCGCATCCGTCGGTCTCAAGTCCAGGGTTGCGACGGAAGGTCGCACTTTCGGTGTGTATCACAGTGCCGAGGGGATCAGCCCCCCCCCTCCGATTGATTGGGGATCATTTGCCCACGCGTGCCCGAAGCATCGGCCGAGGCGCTCCCATTCCAGGGAGCAGAGAGCGACGGTTGCCCCGGCGGGATGGTGTCCTGAGATCCAAGGCGAGACTGTACAGCGTCGTTTGGCCCACTGGTCCCGAGACCGACATCGGATGATGCGGCTCTTTCCCCCGCAGGGATGACAGGATTGTCGCCGATCGATCGCAAGCTATCAGGCCGACCATCCATGAGGCAGCGGTCCTGATCCGATCTGAGCCTCGGGCCGCTGAGCCCGTCTGCGCGGCAGGAAGGCTGCAGCAATGGCCGGCGCGCCCAGGGGCCGGTGGGGGTCCAGGGCCGCGGGCCCGCGGCGCAGCGTCTGGGCGCACCCTTGAGCGGCGGGAGACTGCCTCGGAGAGGGCAGGCCCACCAGACGGCCTTGAGCCAGGCTACGGAAACTGGTGTGGATACGCGAAGCGTCAATAATTTCTTGCAGAGCATGTTACATGTGTGCTGTGTGTGGGTTTTCGGACTGGATTTGGGATGTCAGGTTTTGATTTTCGAGTTCATCACAAAAAATACAACGACACCGGCGAACCTGGTTTTGCTCAGCTGGCTGGCGCGAGTGCCCCTTGCCATTCGCTGCGCTGTGCCATTGTGCTGCAACGCGTTCATTCTTATATATCATGGGTGTCCAACACAAAGGTGTGCTACAACGGGCGAGGCGACATCTTACAATGACCATCTACTCAGCATCAGCGTATGTGGTTCGATAAATTTGGCAGCAACAGTGACGCGAACGTGTTCCGAGAATTAATCTTCCAACCAGGCAGCGTGAGGCCGATCACTGATACCCTTGCCCGGAAGCGTGGGCGCCCTTTTTTTTTTCTCTGCGCGACACCTGCAAGGCGGCCCGGCAAGCTGGTACGCTCGAGCGCAGGTAGCATGCCGAACGGCCCGCTGAAGAATCTCCACCACGGAACACTCAGTAGCCCTGCCTGTCAGCCTAACACGCCTAGGCGCGAGTGAGAAGCCGACTGGCACGCTGAAGAATTACCGCCGCCGAAAACTCATGGAAGAGGCAACGGGTGAGAGAGGACGGGCGCGGGAGGATCAGCAGCGACCAGACTCCGCGGAAAAACTTTTTGAGCTGTCTGCAAGCGGCGCTCGCCCGCAAGACGGCCTCCCGTTGGGCCAGTTTGTTTTCCACCGCGGAAGTTCCATCTGTTCCGAGCCCCACAGATGGCGAACGCTCCGCGAATTCCAACCGGAAGCGCCACCAGGCGACATCCTGGGGGGGCGCCGGCATGCACACAGCGATAGCCCCTGGCGCAGAGCCCAGCACGGTGGCGGGACGGTTGAACGGCCCTCGAGCACTCGGCAGAGCGAAGGCCAGCCCTCCGCAGCGCAGGCGGCCCCGCTCGGGCCGTGCGAGAAGAGCCCCACGGGCTCGCCCCGTCTGCCGCTACCACGGGAGAGGTCGCTGCCTCCCCCCCGCTCCACGGGAAAGGTGGCCTGCCGCCGGAAGAAGGTGGCCTCCCTGGGCCGTGGTGGCCTGCAGCCGAAAATGGTTCACATCCGGGGAGTGATCATGTGAGAAATCTGGGCCAGCTTCCCAGCCTGAGAGAGAGAGAGAGAGGGAGCGCGATCCTACAGTTGGTGCCCTGGTGCCCTGGCCCTGGCCTGTTGCAGGAGCGAGGTGCCACGTCGGCAAGGGGCAAAACGGGCCAGCGTCCATGCGACGCGGCCAAGCGCACATGTTGACTTCATGTCTACGAGGGTCATTGGACGCGGGACTGGCTATTGTGGGAAGAGTATCGACTTGAAGGAATACGATTCATCCCACCCCCTGAAGACTATGGTGAGAAGAACGTCGACTTGAAAAAATACGGTTCATCCCACCCTCTGGAGAGTGGAATATAGGCAGGAGCAGTCCCCACCCCCTCCCCCCCCACTCGAGATCCACCACCCGCTCCCTCCAGCATGAGCTGCGTACAGAGCTTAATTTATAACGTAGAAAGAGATGTATGCTGCCGCCCTCAGATGTCGCACAGATAGAGTATGGCCGTTATGCCGGTGTAGAAGATGCTGCACACCGCTGCCCACAGGACATAATCCACGAAAAGGTATGGAAAATAAAGGGAGGCAGAGAAGATCAACTGGAGCGACCCGCAGAACGCAGTGCAACCCAATACCGCGCGGAACAGCGGATACCCCATCGCGGACTTCGGCCGAAAAATGTCGAAGGAGTAGAAGACGACGCGGGTAAACAGGGGCACGTACACGAACGTTCCGCTGGCCCCCAGCCTGAGGTAGATCAGGGCGGAGAACACGTCGCCAGACCTCCAAAGCCAAATGGCTTCGCCGATGGAGCAGAGGAACCACGGCATGGCCCCCATGACGCAGTATCTATACGGCAGGAACGAACGGGCGCGGACGAGATCGTGCATGGTGTCGCGGACATAGCTCTCGAAGGCCTCGATGCATCCGAACCAAGCGACGACGGACGCCTCGATCAGGACTCTGTCGCAGCCCATGCTCTCGTCGGTCTTCGGGTTAACGTGCCCGACCGCGCAGCAGAAGCAGTTCGACCCCCTCAGGGAGAAGTTCTGTAACTGGATGCGCTGGTCCTTCAGCAAACTCACGTATCGGAGACCCCCGTACGCCAAACAAAGGACAGACAAGGTCACGGACACGGTGTTGGCCGAAACGCTGATCACCGCACCTTTCAATGATATGTCTGGGAGACTCTGCCCGGAAAAACTCGCTGATATTTTCATGCAGAGTATCATCACCGAGATGGTCAAGAACGTTCCCCACGTCAGCATGCCGTTGGGCACCGGTAACACCTTCATCCTCTTGGAGGCATCGCCATTGAGTTGCAATTTCAAGTAGGCTGCACACTCGAACACGCACCAGAGCCTAGTCCAGTATGTCTGGTCCCAAAGCAAGACCATGCGATCCGAACACTTCAGGGTGTGGCCGAGGCTCAATATGCCCCTTTTCTTGGCCTCCTCGTCGTCTTGAGGAATGCACGCGAAGTCGAGGAACACGCGCCTAGGAATCACGGAAGTCAGCACCAGGACGAAGGCCACGCAGGTCGACAGGAGCATAACGAGGATGCCTGCAAACTTGCTGTCTGGCACCCAGTCCAGCGGCATCAGGCAAGCGCCGACGACGGCCGTGAGGATTCCCACCGCGGCGGACTGGAGTCCGTTGTAGTGCAGCAGGAGCATCATCGTGCGGGCGGTGTCGTTGCCGTGCCTGCTATACGACCAGAAGTCGTCAATCTTGCTCGCGTCTGTGGCGTACTTGGCCGCGGTATGGTGTTTCCAGAAGATGCGGCCACCACCCCTAAGCGCTGACCTTACATCGATGGCGACGACCGGCGACGAGCCGTTGCTCACGACAGGATCCATGGTGAACGAAAGCTTCGACAACCGGCGCTCCTCTCCGCGCTGCGGGTCGGGCGCCTCCGTCGGCCACGGCGCCTCTTGCGAGGGATACTTCGGCTTCGTGGGCTCTGCGCCGCCCCCTGCGGCCGCGGGGATGGAGTCCATCGCGCCCCTCGCAGCCGGCGGGCCCGACGGCCCGAGCGCAACTAGGGGCCCTTGAGCCAATGGCTACGGAGGAAGCGTGGGCGCCCTTTGCACGAGTGGGCGAAGTGTTTCTAAAACAAAGTCGGGAGCTGTTTCGAATATGAGTATGCTGTCTCCCAGTGCGTCGCAGACAACCAACAATAGTGTCGTTGTGTTACATAATTTGTTGAAGAAAACGAATGGTTCGGCATTTCGCTTGTATTTAGCTGCTCCCCGTCACCTCTCTCCTCCATACTCTCTGCTTGTGCTAATTCACAGACGTGATGTACAACCCTATTTGTCTGCTTCACAGTCGTGGGCCGTTCTGTTCCCCTTCTGCGTCACAGCGTGATGCGGCTTGCTCTTTAGCGTCCGACGTGGTACCAATGTTTGCATCAATCTGCCCGCGCGCCCTGCCGGAGGCAAGGCCCTCCAGGAGCGATACAGTGCAATAGTTTGTCTCGCCCACGCGCCAATGGGCGTGCGGCGTACGGCTTCTTGACTCAACTTGACTGCCACAATGCTGCGTTATTGGAGCAGTTCGACATGCCTGTCGGTCTGTTTTGTTGTTTTCTCTCTCACTCTCGCTTTCGTTTTCCCCCCTGATGGAATAGTTCATTCGCCAGGCCGCTTCGATTTACGCATGTCCAGCAGTCACATACAGAAGCCTGTGCCCGACCGATCAGGATGAGCGAACGCCCCTGTGATGAAACCCCACTCGTTACTGACCTCATTAAAGCCGCGGCTGGTCTCCACGGAAGCAGGCTGGCACAAACAACCATTCAATGTTTTTTCTTTCAGGAGGAGGAAGGAACTAGTCCCACGATGGCAAGACACCACCTCCTGCACTGCCCGCAACCGATCGACTAAATATGCAAGAACAATTGAAGATACAATATGGTTAGCCTTTCGCGAATTGAATGTCAAAGGCTGAGGCCCTTCGGCCTAGGCGCCCGTCCTGCTCGCGAACATCCGCTACCACGCCGCCTGGTGCGCGCAGGTGTGGTGCACTGCCATGAATTGTGTTCTAAGATTACAGCAGCTCGTCTAAGCCCCCTTCTGTGGTAACTTCGTCGCGTGAGTTCCCCCTTTTTTCCGACGCTCTCAGGCAGGCCCGACGAATCCCTCGGGCTCTCCACTGCTGTCATAGACGGCCGAAGGAGGCCATTAATGCCGCCACGATCGCCAAGCACTGCTTGGAAAGACGCCCCCCAGAAAACCGTCAACCATCCCAATAAACACCAAAAAGGCAAATAAACGCCACCCCCCACGGAAGTCAGTAACACTCAAACGTCTCAGCGCATATCGCTCTTACAACTAGAAGTCGGTGGGCTGTCTCGAGGGGGACCAAGAGGCCTCCAAGAACACAAGATAATTACTGGGGGGCGATAGATTCCCGAGACGGCCAAGCAAGCAGACAAATACCTAAGACGGCGCCAAGTCGGCCAAAGAGGTTTGCAAGAACGCCCCCAAGACGGCCCCGCACAGACCGACGGCAGCCGGCGGTCTGCGAGCCCCCTGCAAGGGCCCAGAAACGTCCCTCGACGGCCCGAAGCACCCCCCCAGATGGGAAACAGGGCCCCAAAACGGTCCAACAGAGCGCCAAAAAGTCCTCAAGACGGTCTCAACCCAAAAACACCCGCCCCTTACGCTTCCACCATTGCTGCCCTCGCGCGCCTCCGCCTACCTCGTCCGTCCGGGGTGACATCTTCCAGGGTCGGCGGGACTGACCGCAAGGCACTTGCAATGAGGACGCGGAGCAACGGGCACACCAGACCATGCACTCTAGCATGAAGGGCGGTTTACCCGTACTCGTCGTGCAACGTAATTTCAAATTCAATTCTGCCCCACTTCTGGCCAGCCCATCACTGCGCCCACTCGATTGGGCCCTTTCTCTGCTCCCCGTCCCTTCTCCGGGTCCGCATATTCCTCCTCCTCCTCCTCCCCCCCCTCGCCCTAGAACGCAGTCGCGCATGGCTCGCTGCCCGGCTGCCCTCGCAACCGCTGTGAAAACCTGCGCAAGGGCACGCCCTCTCCGAGAGAGGTCGGCGCAGTGCCCGCTGCATCATGCGCCTGTGAAGCTATGCCCCGCTGCCCGCTGCCTCCTCCTCGTCCTCCTTCTTCCCCCTTGCGTTCCTACCTCTTCGTCTCCCCCAAGCGTCTGTCCCGTCTCCTGCCCGTCCACCCCCATGCTCCTCACCCGCCAGTTTCGCCATCCCGCCCGTTCGGTTCCTCTTCCTCTTCCCTGCGGAAGAGGTCCGCGTCCACCCCCATGCTCCTCACCCGCCAATTTCGCCCTCCCGCCCGTTCGGTTCCTCTTCCTCTTCCCTGCGGAAGAGGTCCGCCTCCACGTGCGCCACGCGCCCCTACATCACAGCACCAAATAGACGGCATACTCAATTTACCTCTCGCGGGGATAGAAACCAATTTAATCATAGTCACTCTCTGGAACGTCGTCGTGACGCTTATCGCCAGCCCTGAGACCTCCTAGAGCGTCCTGGAGCCTCCTTGGGATTCCCACGGCCTCCAGGGACGTCCTGAAGTCTCCTGGAACTTCCTGATGCCTCCTGGGGCCTCTTGGCGGCTCTTTAAGAAGCCACGCGCGGGGCCTCAAAATTGGCCATACTTTCAAGAATGGGAGCCTTCCCGTTGAAAAGGAAAGCGCGGTGAACGTTGAAAAATGACGACAGTGTTACAATTAAGGCCCAAAACCGTGCCGGGCGCACCCCGGCGCGAATCCCGGCCCTGCATAGAACGGTGCGATTTGTCCCCTCCCCGTTGTCCCGCTGGCCCCCGGGAGGGCTAGTTTCCGGATGTTTCCCTACCTAGGCTCTGCCTAGAAGGGTTCTTACTCGGTGTGCTTAAAGGGCCGGGCAATGGGGCCCGACCCGGGCGGTTCCCCCAGTATCCGCCCCGCGGTTCCCCCAGTTACGTCCCTTTAGCTTAGCGTTGCCTATCTCATCTTAGCTTAGCCTATTTCATTTTAGTCTAGCTTAGGTCGTCCTAGCTCAGGCTTATCTTAGCTAGCATACCTTCACCTTAGCTTCGCTGAGCTTTAGCATAGCAGAGCACAGCATAGCATAGCATAGCGTAGCATAGCAAAGCGCAGCATCGCAGATCATAGCCTGGGTGTAAGTTGTTGTGTTGCTGATGTTTTATTCCCTACCCAGGCTCTGCCTAGAGGGTTCTTACTCGCCGGGCTGAAAGGGGCCGGGCAGTGTTCCTCGCCCCGGGCGGTTCCCCAAGTATCCGCCCCGCGGTTCCCCCAGTTGCGCCCCCTCAGCTTAGCTTTGCTTATCTCAGCTTAGCTTAGCCTAAATTAGCTTAGCTTCGCCTGGCCTAGCTTAGCTTAGCTTAGCTTAGCTTAACCTAGCCTAGCCTAACCTAGCTTAGCTTAGCTTAGCTTAGCTTAGCCCAGCTCAGCTCCTACTAGCGCAACGCAGCATCAACATAACATAGCATATCATAGCGTAGCATAGCACAGCGCAGCATAGCATAGCATAACATAGCAAAACATCGCACAGTATAGCGCAGCATACCATAGCATAGCCTAGCACAGCATCGCATAGCGCATCATATCATATCGTAACATATCACAGCGCAGCATAACATAGCATAGCATATCGCAACATAGCAAGCCATTACATAGCCTAGCATAGCATAGCACAGCGCAGCATAGCATAGCGTATCATAGCATAGCGCAGTGTATCATATCAGCGCATGCCATAGCGCAGCATCGCATATCATAACGCAGCCTAGCATACCATAGCGCAGCCTAGCATACCCTAGCATAGCATAGCATAGCATAGCGCAGCATATCATATCATATCATGGCATGTCATAGCATAGCATTAGCATATCATAGCGCAACATAGCATACCATAGCATAGCATAACACATCATCAAAACAAAGGCAAATCAACAGCAATAACAGCACAGCAAAGCACAAGCAACGCAAAACAAAGCAACATCAAAAGCAAAGCAAAGAAAACGCAAAACAAAAGCAATGTGACTACCGCTACTGCTACAACTGCGACGATGAGGAGGAGGAGGAGGACGGCGTTTACCGTTACTACTAATATTGCTCTCCTCGGGGCTCCAACTCCTAGGTAGGGTCGCTCTGGGATAATTGCTGGTAGGAAACACTTCCCCCCCCTTCTCGGCGGTGACGGAGGGCATGCGGCGGGGGAGCGCGGGTTGGCAGGGTGGCTGACTAACGGGTTGGCTGGGTGGCGGGGTGGCTGGGTGGGCTGGCTGGCTGGTTGGACGGGCTGGCAGGTTTAGCTGGCAAGGGCATTTGGTTTCGACTAGTATGCTGCTGCTGTTTGAGAATAGATCCACGGGCCCAGATGACGCTGCGCAGGTGACATGATATCATCGCGTGACTTGGCACACCTTGCGACCCAGCGCTGAAATAATAACCCGACCAGTCTCCATGGCAGCAGAAACAGCCGACGCTGATGTGTATATACATACATATAGATAGACGGGCCCTGCATGCCTGTCGTTCGCCAGCGTCGGCACGATTGCAAACTGCCCGCAGCTGCCTGTCCTCCTCCCATGTTGCTGCGGTTGTTTCGTCGCTGTTGCAGGGTGTCAGCTGTCCTCCCAACATGACGCGCTGCGCCCCGCCATGGGCCTGGCAACCATGGTGTCGCATATCGTACCTGCTGCTTACTGACAGCATTCTTTACTGGTGCTGGTGTCTCGTCTGCTCAAGCGGCTGCAATATGACCTGTTCTTGTCTCTGGCGTGCGAATGATCGTGAACTCCTCGCCCGGCTCATCTTTCAATCTAGTGAGCTGGCTTGTCCGTGAGATCTCCTCCTGTTTGCAAGGGACGGCCAGGAGGGCCTCAAATTGCACCCTGATCTGGTGATCGCTCAGGGCGATGCCCTTCTTCGCGCACTCCTAGACTATTTCCACAAATGTGTAGTTTGCGGTATGCGAGCTGGAGGTCCTTGAGCCACACCTCGCCTGGGGCCCGGGGGCGCTTGCCTCGCTGGTAGGACGTGTTCGGAGCATGTGCCGGGATCCTTGACCTCCAAGCCGTCCGTGGGTGCTTGGCCTGCCCCCATCGGGAAAATGACGTTTGCCAGCAAGGCCCATGGCGTGGCGATACTGCTAGCCAGGGTATCTTGTTGGATAGCATGACCGCGACCCCGCTGACACCTGCGAGTTCAACCTAGGATTGTGCCCACTGCAAACATGTAAATCATGCCATCCCGCTTCGGTGTGTCCGGTCATTTTGCAAAGGGTGCGGCGTACATCCTCATACGTCGTTAAAATATATGATGCCTTCGGCAGCTAAGTGCTGCCCCACACCCTCCCCCAGTATTTTCGCTGGGGCTTGCGAAACATATGTTCATCCTCTTCTTCCTCCTCATGTTCTGCTTCCCCCCCTCCCTCCATTTCATTGACTTTCGCCTCCTCCTCCTCTTCTGCTCCTTCTCGTTCGTCTCTTTCCTCGTCCATCCTCGTCGTTGTCCTTATCCTCACCTTCTCCCCCTCCTCGTCCTCATCTTCCCCGCCAATCCTTCTCCCTCCAATTGTGATTGTCCTTCGGCCCTGGATTGCTCCATCCGTGGCCTTCGAAAGGCTTCGAACAGCTAGCTACACAATATAATTACATCCGAGCCCCTCTTACTGGGTCGAGTAATCGGCGATAAGGGGATCGAGCTCCATGGACTGCCTCCTCTGACGCGCTCTCCACGCTACAGAGGCTGCGAGCAGCGTAGCGGTGGCCGCAGCAGTTGCGACGCCAGCGAGGAATAGTGGCCTCAGGCTGCTCCTCCCCGTAGCGAGCAAATTGTGCTGGCCGCGGAGCTTCCCCTCCTCATATCGACTGAGCATTGCGGCGGGTGGTTCGAGGCCTCGTGCTTTTGCCCGCTCGGCCACGGCGTCGGCCTGGACAAACTTGATGGGCAGGTCAGCAAGTAAATTTGCGTTGGTGTTGCCTTCATTGTGCGTGACATGGTAGAGCTCGACCGCATGCTCCTAGAGAGAACTTCACTCAAGTACCACTTCCCCAAACAGTGCTTACACTTAACAGGTTTTACTTCTGTCCTAAGGTAACTGGACCCATCTGGCGGTCTGGCCGGCTTGTCGCCGCCCGTCGCCGCTGGGCCCCACTGGCGGTCCAGCCTTCTCTTCACCGCCGCATGAATCGCTTTGCATTGTTTTCCACTGCAATCGCATTGAAGTGCATTGCGTTGCCCTGTTCTGCCTTGCGTTGCATTGCGTTGCATTGCGTTGCATTGCATTGCATTGCAAAGCATTGCTACGCATCGCATTACATTTCTTTAGATTGCATTGCGTTGCTTAGCATCGCCGCACAGTTCATTAAATTGAGTTGCACTGGCTTTCATTGCTTTGCGTAACATTGCGTTGCGCAGAAAGTGCTAGCACTGTTTTGCATTACTGTTCATCGTGTTGCATTGCTTGGCTTTGTTTTGAATTGAGGTGCATTGAGATGCATTGCGCATTGCTTTACATTGCGTTGCGTTGCGCTGGCCTGCATTGCTAAGCACTGCTTTGTATTATTCCGCATTGGTTCGAATGGTATTGCATTGATTTGCATTGCTTTGCTCAACTTTGCACAGCTGAGTACTGCTTTGCACTACATGGATTGCTCAACATGGATTGCACCACTTGAATTACACCCCCATGACTGCACCACCTAGACTGCACCAATATGTTAAAACGGAAACAATTTGCGGACCACGCTGGCTACCATTCTGTATACGCGATGGGATCCGTTACCGGAAAAAAAAGTATCGCCACGCTCCCTTCTGGGACAGGCGGGCAACACAGAGTGAACGAGCATCGCTGTGCTTGATGGTACCAGAGAGCCCGAGAGAAGATACATGCTTGCCATAGTTCTTAGAACAACTACTGATCTGTACGCGTCCCAACACCTAACGTCGCACGTACCTTGAGAGCACCACGATCATCCTTTGAGCCCCGCAGTGTGAGTCAGCGCCTCGACACCACCACTTGTGAGCACCGTCCTTGCTGTGGGAAACGCACCACTTAGTTTTTCCATGCCGTGCTGAATGATTGCCTTCCGCCATGTACCAGACACACAACTCGGCGTCCCCTCTTAGTGCCCTCCTCGTTTTCATTATCCTGGTCTTGCTCCTCCACCTCCTCCTCCTCCTCCTCCTCCTCCTCCTCCTCCTCCTCCTCCTCCTCCTCCTCCTCCTCTTTGCTGGCTGTGCATCAGGCGAGTAACCGCGAGGGCCTGGGTGCGGGGGCGCAGCTCGGGGCACGACGACCACACGGCAGCAACGACAATCAAAGACGAGGAAAGAAAGAGAGAGCGAGATGCAGACAAAAAGAAAGGGAGAGGAACGACGACAGCAGTCCTTCGGAGAAAGAACAGTCGATCGTTCGCCGTCCCGAACACTGATCCCCTGAGGGGGGTGCCAAAGAAGGTCCTTGAGAAGTGACCTTCTAGCGTACGTCATAGATCACCCTCCGGGCGGGGAGGCTTTGGGAAGGGAGCCAACAACAATTGCATCAGCAGCCGTGTCAACCTAGAGAGCAACAACTACAGCAGTGGTAGCGTCAGCCAGCAGTCACAACTATGGCACTACGAGCGAGCAACGATAACAAACATGACGAAACAATGCCAAAACTGCAAACACTAGCAGGAGCCACCAGCAGTAGCAGCGGCCATAGCAATAGAAGCAGCAGGCATCAATCGAAGGAGCAACACTTCCGAACAGCAGTGCAGAAATAGCAGCAAATGTAGTTTAATGAATTGGAAATAGTGGCTGCACCAGAAGCAGCAATGACAGAACTACCAGACATAACTATGGAAAATACCGGATGCACATCAGTAGTAGCAGTCGTAGCAACATCACCACGAATATCAACTGCACGATCACCGCTCCGAAACCGTGGGAAGCATGACATGGTAAAGGATCATGACAGACCTCGCTAGGTGCTTGAGACTGGTGCCCAGATATGATGCGATCGAGAGCGCCTCATGGCCGATGGCCGCTGCGTAAGGTTCGTGCGGCACGAATGCACAACGGGCGTCGCCGCCGTGAACAGCATGTACACACGCACATAGACACACGCATACGATGGCTTCAAGCAGTGCGGCGAGCGAGGGTTCGTCTGCAGGCATTCACTGACAAGGAGGCTCAGAATGGCGGACATAATAAGTCGATGCGGCTTCGGCCGATACGCCACGGATGCAATACTGGTTGTGCATCACTGTTCGTGCTTCATGGCCTACAAATGGGCTTTGACTGAGCGGTAACCGTCAACACGTGATAACAAGACTCGCTGATATTGTTGGCCATTCACCTTCTTCCGTAAGGGGTGCCCCCCGCTCTCAGCAGCTTAGATCATGGCTCAGGCACGCCCAAATGCTTCACAGTGATCCTAAACGTGCTGGATCCTTCGTCATCGTGTCGCCTCAAAGCGGCTGGGACACGACAACGGGAACGAAGCATGAGATTACGTACGTGGCCTCATCTGCTTTTTCACCTCCTCAACCCCCCCTTGCCCCCCCAAAGCTCCACGCCATGAAGGCTTACGAAGAGCTTGTAGTCAACGACCGGCTTCCACGTGCCGTCCCAACCATCTCCCGTACCCCCCTCGGTGTCCCACACCTTGGGGCCACAAGAGAAACTGAATGCCCACCCCCCCGCGCTTGTCATTCCCAGCCACATCCCCAAACCTCGCGTGCAGTGAGGTGGCCTGGGCGCGCCATTCGCCCTTCGTTCCCAGCACCTTCGGGGGATCGACTACTATGTCGACCACGGCGTCCTTTCAGGGATGAGAGGCTCAGTTATGTGGTAAAGCGCTGCTCATCCCCACACCGAATCATCGGCCACCCCTCCATCGGTTTGTAAGAACTGAAACGGGGGGGGGAAGCTGAGCACCGTACTTCTCCACTTCTGCCTCTCAGCCCCATCCTTGACGCCCACAAGGTTCTGCGCCTTGCCAAACCCAGCGAGCTGCTTGAAGGGCCGCGCCTCTGGCTTGAGGTGCTGAACGTACAGCTGCACGACCTGGCCGGCCTCGGTCACCTGCTGGGGCGCGGAGTTGGGAGCCCGCAGGACTAAGCGGTACCTGAACTTCACACGCCCGTCGCTGGTGGTGGTACTGATGTTCGCCTGGAGGATTTCAATCTCCTCCAGGTAGCTGAGACCCCAGCCGAAAGCGAAGTTGGGGAGTTCACCCTTGGCGCCATATCCTCTGTAGCCAAACCTCCAACCCTCGTTGTAGGCGTCAGAGCCTGGGACGCTCATCTCAGATCTGACCCACCCCAAAGTGCCAAACACCAAGCTGATCGAGGTTCCGAGGGATCGATCCTGACCGATCGACAGCTAGATCGGCCTGATCGAGCCTGACCGCGCAAGCCAAGGCATTCTGGGTCTCGGTCTCTCCGTCGGACTGATGGTCTGCTTCTCCGACTCCGGCATTGTTAACGAGAGGTGCCCAGATGGGCTCGCCTTGCCGAGCAATACATCAGCAAACGCAGCGCCACCCATCTCCCCGGGCAGGGACGAGTACAAGATCGCGTCGACCTGGGACGCGAACGGCATGAGGACGGGACCGCCTGCGACCACGTACACGACGACGTTGTCGAACTTCTCAAAAGGAAAGTCTGCGGCGCCATCCAAGTCCAAATTCTCGCGGTCCGTCCCCTCAGAATTCTTGGACGCAGGCACCAAGCACACCACCGTCACCGCGTCTGGGTCTTGCGGCCCGTTCTCTCCGTCTTCTAGCCCGAAAGCCTTCCAAGGCTGCATGTGCAAACGTAGACTCAAGTGGGAACCCGCTCAACGTGCAGTGCAAGGGGGGAACGACGAGGCAGGCGGGAGGGTGCTTGTATCCTTGGCTCTCCCTGTCTCTTCCTCCTGCCTCTTCTCTGCTGTTCCTTTTCTTCCTCAGGGCTGCAGTGGAGGCGCACCGGAATTCCGCCCCCCCCTCCAAACAGCCCCGATCTCCCCTCCCCTCTCCCTAACCCCGCTCTCCGACCTCTGCTCTCTCCCGCCCTCGCACTCCCCCGAACGCCATTCATCTCTTCCCAAACCTTGAGGCTCACGCCCGCGGCGGTGACTGCGTCGTCCGGGTACGGGCATGCCGTTTTCCCGTCCGGCTTGCACCGCTCGTCGGAGCTGGGAATGTTCGGCTCCGTGCCGGCGGCCGATCCAGACTCCGCCCTGAAGTGGACCTACCGGAGGAAGCGGCAAAAGAAAGCGAGAGAGAGCGAGAGAAGGCTGGTTGACCAGACGTCTAGCAGGGCGGGCGGAGGGCCGAGCAACGCAAATCGCCTACGCTTTGCCCGAACACCCCTTCAACAAAACAAACAAGGGTGAGGTACCCCCTCCTCCGCCGCGCAATCCGCCCCTCCTCATCCTCCGCCCTGCTTCACCTCCTCCTGTTGCTCCTTTTCTTCCTTCTACTTCTCCCTGTCCCCCAGAAGGGGAGGGCGCGCAGAAACGAATGTCAGCGTCGGGCGAGCCCGTCTACAACCTCCAAGACGAATGAGAATGCAAGCTGTGGGAGGGACGCCAAGAAGTGCGCATCACTCTGCCTCCTCCTGCTCCTCCCCCTCCTCCTACCACTTCGCCTCTCTCGCTCGCTCCCTCTCTCTCTCATCGCTTGTATTTCCCAACCATCCTGCATTTTTGGGCCATCGTTTTGAAGAGACATCGCCCCACGCTCCTTTATTATGTCCGTCCTTCCTTCTTGTGTTCCTTCCTCCTCCCCCTCCTCCCTCCTTCCATCCCTGCCTCTGCCCTGCGCATGTCATCGTCGTCGTCATCATCATCAGCATCATCATTACTGTCATCGCCATGTCATCGTCATCGTCATCGTCATCGTCATCGTCATCGTCATCATCATCATCATCATCCTCATCCTCATCCTCATCCTCATCCTCATCCTCATCCTCATCCTCATCCTCATCCTCATCCTCATCCTCATCCTCATCCTCATCCTCATCCTCATCATCATCATCATCATCATCATCATCATCATCATCATCATCATCATCATCATCATCGACGTCGTGATCACCACCGTTATCGTCACCATCATTGCCACCAAATTCACCACACCCCTTACACGTTTCGTGGCCCAACAGGGAGCCCCATCGAAGGCCTCAATGACGGTGTTCGCATGCGTCTCCCCCACCCAGGACATCGTTTCGTGCCCCCCCTAGGGAGGGCCAACTACGGCTCATGCGTCTCCCCCACCCAGCCCAGCGTTTCGTTTCGTGGCCCCCAAGAAAGCTCCACCTCACGCCCCAGTGGCAGTGTTCGCATGCGCCTCCCTCACCCAACACGGCGCTTCGTGGCCCCAGAGGGAGCTCCACCTAAGGCCTCAGTGGCGGTGCCCACATGCGTTTCCCCCACCCCACACATCGTTTCGTGGTCCCTGAGGGAGCTCCACCCAAGGCCTCAGTGGCGGTGTCCACATGCGTCTCCCCCACCCAGCACCGCGATTTGTGGCCCCGTAGGGAGCTCCACCTAAGGCTCCAGTGGCGGCGTCAACTTGCGACCCCCCCCGCCCAGCACAGCGCTTCGTGGCCCCATGGGGAGCTCCGTGTGAGGCTCCAGTGGCGGTGCCCTCGTGCGTTTCCCCCACCCAGCACGGCGCTTCGCGGCCCCGTAAGGGGACTCCACTAGACGTCCCAGTGGCGGTGCCCACATGCGCCTCCCCCCCCCCGCTCAGCACAGCGTTTCGTGGCACCGTAGGGAGCTCCACCTAACGCCCCAGTCGCGGTTTCCACATGCGTTCCCCCCATGAGGAGTCGTGTGTAAGGCCCCAGTGGCGGTGTCCACACGCGTCTCCCCCACCCACCACAGCGCTTCGTGGCCCCAGGGCGGGGCTCCGCCTAATGCTTCAGTGGCGGTGCCCATATGCGTTTGCCCCACCTAGCACAGCGCTTCGTGACCCCACGGGGAGCTCCACCTAAGGCCCCAATGGCAGTGCCCACATGCGTCTCCCTCACCCAGCACAGCGCTTCGTGGCCCCATGGGGAGCTCCACCTCACGCCCCAGTCGCGGTGTCAACTTGCGTTCCCCCCACCAACACAACGTTCCGTGGCCCCATGTGGAGCTTCGTGTAAGGCTCCAGTGGCGGTGACCGCATGCGCTTCCCCCACCCAGCACAGCGCGTCGTGGCCCCGTAGGGAATCCCACTGAATGCCCCAGTGGCCGTTGTCCACATGCGTCCCCCCCACTCAGTACAGCGTTTCGTGGCCCCACAGGGGACCTCACCTTAGGCACCAGTGGCGGTGTCCACATGCGTCTCCCCACCTGGGGAGTTCCACCTAAGGCCCCACTGGCGGTGTCCACAAGCGTCTCCCCCGCTCAGGACAACGTTTCCCTTCGTGGCCCAATGGGGAACTCCACCGAAGGCCACAGCGGCGGTGTCCTCATGCGCCCCCCCCACCCAGCACCGCGCGTCGTGGCCCTTTTGGGAGCTCCACCTAAGGCCCCTGCGGCGGTGTCCACATGTGTCGCCCCCATCCAGCACAGCGTTTCGCTTCGTGGCCCCATGGGGAGCCCCACCCAGCACGGCGCTTCGTGGCCCGAGAGGGAGCACCCAAGGCCCCTGTGGCGGTGTCCACATGCGTCTCCCCCACCCAGCACGGCGATTCGTGGTCCAATAGAGAGCTCCACATGAGGCTCCAGTGGCGGTGTCCACATGCGTCCCCCACGCAACACAACGCTTCTTGGCCTCATGGTAAGCTCCACCTGAGGCCCCAGTGGCGGTGCCCACGTGCGTCTCCCCACCCAGTACAACATTTCGTGGCCCCATGGGGAATGCCATGTAAGGCCCCAGTGGCGGTGCCCACCTGCGTCTCCCCACCCAGCACAACATTTCGTGGCCCCATAAGGAGCTCCACCGACGGCCCCAGTGGCGGTGTCCACGTGCGTCTCCCCAGCCAGTACAACATATCGTGGCCCCATAGGGAGCTCGACCGAAGGCCCCAGTGGCGGTGCCCACATGCGTCTCCCCCACTCGGCGCGGCGCGTCGTGGCCCCATAGGTGGCTCCACCGAAGGCCCCTGTGGCGGTGTCCACATGCGTCTCCCCCACCCAGTACAGCGCGTTGTGGCCCATAGGGAACTCCACCGAAGGCCCCAGTGGCAAAGTTCGCATGCGCCCCCCCCGAGCAGTACAGAATTTCGTGGCCAATCGTGGACGATACCGAAGACGATGCCCACAACGGCGGTACTCACAACTGCATCTGGCTGGGTCCTTCGCCAGGCTAATGTTGTCTCTTTCTTTCTCTCTCTCTCTCTCTCTCTCTCTCTCCCTCTTGGCATCGACTACTCATGGTGGACTCATAAATTACACTCCGTCGCCCGCAGACACCGGCAGGGGGTCATGGAATTACGCCCCTCAGACGTGCAAAGCACAGCCATTATAGCAACCATCACCTCGCAGCTCATGGCATACACAATGGCACGCGGTAGGCGTCTTGCCGACAAATAACCGATGTGGGCGATGTCATTCGCCGGGTAGCCTTCCGAGCACCTTCATTCATGCAATTCCCAGGTCAGCAGTATTACTCCTCCGCCTCAGTCGAACGCAGGCCCATATTTCGTATAAACAGCGAGTGTTCTCTCCGGAGCGAGCGCCGCCTCTGACTAAGGTCTGGCAGCGAGCGACTGATGGCCTGAGCGTGAAGCGCAGCGCCAGCTACACTACGTTGGTGGGCGAGAGTTAGCTCACCCGCCTCCGACCAGTGCGGAAGGCGGGCGACGCCTTCCCCCCCTGTCCGTAGCACAGAGATGATGACTCCCTCTCTTGGGAAGTTGGCCTGGAATGGGCTCCAGGTGTCGCTGGAGCAGTCCACAAGCTGAACATCCTACTTTAGATCTCTCAAGGGCCCCTTGGCGCTTGTGCAACAACTGCGATCCATCGTAACAAACGTGTATAATGCGACCGATGCTGCGTTTTCTCCTAAACACAACACCATCCGCGTCCCCAAGGCTGCGATCCCTCCGATGAGAAAACGTACGGCCATCGCTCTCGAGGCCACGGTCGTTCGCACAAGCCATCAGATACGCGCTCCCGAGAACGCGATCGCATGAGACAGCGCCACCAAGAAGACCACGGAGCGTATGAGAGTTTGTCGGGACCACCGAGGGTGCCTGGGAGCGCCTGGGGGCGCAGGGGAACACCTGAAAACGCTTCGGAGCGCTACAATTTCTGTCTGATTCGATGAAAACGATTGAATGCATTTGGGAACGCCTCAAAGCGCCTGGAAGTGCTGGGGAACGCGATGGGGCGCCTGAGAACACCTGGCAGCGTCTGAAAATATCTGGGAGCGCATGCGAAGCCTGGGAGCGCCCGGGGGCGTCTGGGAACGAGTGGGCGCGCTTGGGGGCGGTTTGGCGGCGCCTGGGGGCGCCTGGGAGCCCCTGTGAACGCCTGGGGGTGCCGGGGAGCGCCAGGGAGCGCGTGGGAGCGAGTGGGAGCGCATGGAGGGGCTTGGGAGCGCTGGGGGAAACCTGGGGATGGGTCTGGGAGCGCCTGGGAGCGGCTTCGAGCGATAGGGAACGCGCGGGGGCGCCCAGGAGCGCCCGGGAGAGTCTTCGCGTAGCGGGATGCCAACAGGCGCGTCGCAATTGCGACGCCGCCAGAGGAACCGCGTGGAACCTTGAAGAACCATGGGCGCCTGGTGGAAACCTGATAGTTAGTGGTTCTCCGAGCGATCCTGATGCGGCCTGAGGGAAGCGGAGAAAACCCCCCCATCGTTGCATACCCCACACCACCGCGCGCCGCGGCCGCGTAGCGGGATGCCAACAGACGGGGCGCAGCTCCGACGCCGCCAGAGGAACCGTGTGGAGCCTTGACGAATCATGGGCACCATGAGGAAACCGGATGGTTCTTGGGTCCCCGAAGGCTCCTGAAGCGGACCGAGGGAGCCCGAGAACGTCCCTCCATCGTTTCATGCAGACCCCCCCCCCCACCAACTCCACCCCGCGCGGTAGTCCCGTAGCGGGATGCCCGCGGATGCGACGCAGCTGTGACACTGACAGAAGAGACGCGTGGATCTTTGACACAACAACGTGAGAGAACGTTATGATGGTCCAGCACTCGAGAGATCCTGGCGCGGTCTGATGGACCCCGCGAAACCCATTGTAGCTCTTCACGCAGACCCCCCACCCCTCTCTTGCGGAGGTCGCGTAACGACCGACGCGCGGAACGCGACCACCACGCGCGACGACTTCGACACGTGCCCAGTCGCGCAGCGATGCGCAGTGTCCGAATCGTGTAGCGAGACCCCGCCCTATCATCGCAAAACGAGAACCTCCCATCTACTCGTTTGCGGAGGTCGCAAGGCGACCGATGCGCGGAACGCGACGCCCGCTTGCAATGCCTGAGTCGCGCAACGAGACCCCGCCACCAGAATCGCTCAGTGAGATGTCTGCTGGGATGCGACGCGCGCGAATTGCCTCCTTTTTTCCAGGGGGCGGCGTGGATTGGCAACGAAGAAAAGCTGTCGCTCGGGCGAAGCCGAAGCAGGTGTGGGTGGGGCGGGTGTGCACCAGCATCGCCAGCGTACACAAGAACATTCCACCGCTCCCCCACCCACCATTCTGCTGAGGACAGATGCGTGCGCGAATTTCTTGCCAGCTCTCTCTCTCTCTCTCTCTCTTTTTCTATCTCCACATATATATATATATGTTCCTCCCTCCCTTCAATACGCGCAAACAATGACCCAATCACTAACGCTGGCACATACACACTAGAACCATCGCGCGCGCTTCGCGCGCGCTCAAGTTCTAGCGAGCTTCCTGGGGCCTCCCCGGAGCATCCTGGACTGCTTCTGAAAATCGTCATGGAACCTTCTTGGCATGTCTTCGGGGGCCTCTTAGAAAGAGTTTTGAAGCCTTTTGGGTGCCGTCTTGGGGCCTCTTGGAGCCTCTTTTGGGCTTCTTGGGGCTCTTGGGTGGGGGCCTCTTGGGGCCTCTTGGGGGCTTCCTGGGGGCCTCTTGGGGCCTCTTGTGGGCATCTTGGGGCGGAGAGCTTGCCTTTTCAGTTCGCGTTCCCTTCTCTCGGGCCCCTCTGGGGCCTTCTTGGGACCCTCTTGCGCCGTCTTGGGCGGCTCTGGGGCCGTCTCGGGGCTCTCTTGGGGGCATCTTGGGCCGTCTTGGAGTGGTTTTGGGAGCCTCCTGGGCGGTGCTTTAGCGCCGGAAACACGAAACAGCGAGAATGCAAAAAAACATATAAAAGAAACAACTTCAAATCGACGATTTTGCTCTCGCGGGGCGCTCTTGGGCGGCATATTAAAAGCCTCTTGGGGCGTCCTGAGGGCATCCGGGGCAATTTAAAACGCATCGTGCGTCGCCAGAGACCCCTGGACGGCGTGTTGGGGTCTCGAGACCGTCTGGGGCCGCCGGGATTGCTGTCTGAGGGCTCCTCGGGGCGATTTTAGTCCTTCCAGAGGCGGGCCTGGGCCCCGTCCCCACATTTGTGGTCGAGGTTCCGGCCCTCGGCCCCCGAGCCCGGTGCGCCGTTATATGTATACACGCACACACAGCGTTCGTGCAAACCCAATACTCGTATAGTCCCCATTCTCGTGCGACCCCGATGGTCGTACACATCCTATCTATAGTTCGCACGAACCCCCTGGGACGAGAATTCCTGGAGGTCTTGTTGTAAAATCTGTCCAGCCAAATCTGGCCCGAGATTGCGTCAACCCTCGATGCTGGGTGGGGCTTTCAGTGGGGGTGAAACTCTTCCTGAAAGGTGAAGCTCTACCGCGGCAGTAGACGGAAAAGGACCTGTCCACCCTCCCCTCTTCCCTTCATCATCCCCATCGCCCCCATCGACCCCCCTCGCCCAGGGTGCGGCAGGTTCACGTCGAACAGACGTCGGCGTTGGTTTTTCTTGCGCAGCATGGAATGTTCAATCGTGAACGATGGCGGCTTCCCGGTAGTCGTTCGATACCCGCCGATTCTCGGACAATGGCGACGTGCGAGCCTGTCGCGGGCATCTTTCGTTCAAAATCAATCCCCAAACTCCTTCTCTTGCCTAGACTCTCGAGCCGCATCCAGCCGCGGCCGCAGGTGGGGGGCCCCGAACCCCTCACCAGGGCGAAACCCTCACCATCGAGGCGTCGCCGCCGCGTCGACGCGGCGCGAAACCTGCCGCATTCGGAGCGACCCTCGACGCCCGCGCGCCTCCTCGCCACACCCGTACATCTCGACCCTTGCAGAGGCTGCGAGGGGCAGGAGCCCGCCCGAGTTCTGCAGCAACACCATCGCCTTCGTGGCCACCTCTTGTGGGGGGACCCAGGGTTGCCCACGTCCTCCCGCCGCCCTCCCCCTCGCCTCGCAGGAAGCGGAGGCGAAGGTGAGGAGGAGAAGGAGGAGGAGGAGGAGGAGGAGGAGGAGCAGGACGGAAGAAGACGGAGTCCTGCACTCCCTGCCGTCCCCCCACCCCGCCCATCGCCAGTTCGAGCCCTGCCTGGAAGTAAAAAGCAGTGGGCGGGCCCCATTCTCCCCGCTGGCCCCCTCCCTCTACACAATCCCACCAGCCCTTTAGGGCGTGAGTGGTTTAGCGAGCCCCCTCTGTCCTCAACCCCCCTTCTTCCCCTTCGGGGAGGGGTTTACCCCTCCCCCTACCCCCTCCCCCTGGGTCTGGAGAGGGCGTCCCGCGGGTGGTTGGAGGGGTCTTTTTCGACTCCTGGGAGGGCCAAAAGACGACGACCCTCACGAGGATTCTGGCCCCGACGGGGGGACGCACTTGGGACCCTCTCCTCTTCTGTGAAGCCAAAATCATTGCTTTTACGAAGGTGTTGGCCCCATTTTGGCCTCCCGAGGGGGCCGCGCTCATCTTCCTTCATAGCAAAATCATTGATGTTACGAAGGTTTTGGGCTCATTTTGTCCTTCTCAGGGGGCAGCGCTTCTTTGCGCTTCTGAGGAGGTCGCAAGAGGCCCCAAGATGGCCTCAAGAGGCCCCCAGGAGCCTCCCAAGAGGCCTCCAAGAGGCCCCCAAGAGGCCCCCAAGAGGCCCCAAGAGGCCCCCAAGAGGCCCCCAAGAGGCCCCCAAGAGGCCCCCAGAGGCCCCAGGAGGCCCCCAAGAGGCCCCCAAGAGGCCCCCAAGAGGCCCCCCCAAGAGGCTCCAAGAGGCCCCCAAGAGGCCCCACGAGGAGCCCGAACGACTCACACCAGGACGAGGGGCCCGAACGACTCACACCACGAAGAGCCCGAACGACTCACACCACAAGGAGGGGCCCGAACGACTCACACCAGGACGAGGCGCCCGAACGACTCACACCACGAGGAGCCCGAACGACTCACACCACGACGCGGGCCCCGAACGACTCACACCACGAGGAGCCCGAACGAGTCACACCAGGAGGAGGGGCCCGAACGACTCACACCAGGATGAGGGGCCCGAACAACTCACACCACGAGAAGCCCGAACGACTCACACCAGGACGAAGAGCCCGAACGACTCACACCACGAAGAGCCCGAACGACTCACACCAGGAAGAAGGGCCCGAACGACTCACACCAGGACGAGAAACCCCAAACGACTCAAATCACGAGGAGCGCTTTCTCTCCCTCCTCCTCCGCCTCGTCCTTCTCCCGCTCCCCCCACAAGGAGGATGTACAAGGAGGCGGGAGGAAGGAGGAACAGGGGAGATATGCGGGGCCAAACGGACACACGCCTGAAAAACACGACTGTCGGCATGCTTCGCATGAGTTGCTGTTGTGAGATGGGCTGGTGGGGATACGCGAAGCGTAAAGAATTACCTAATCTGAAATCGACTCTCCTCTCTCCTCGTGGATTGGCGGGGGGGAACAGCCCGCCGCCTACCCCCCTCCGCGTGCTTGCTGCTTTGTCTTTGACCCCCAAGATGTCATGATTTGGTATGTCTTATGTTGTTGTTGCAATCTGGTCGGTTTCGGTCCTTCTACATGGTGCTGCCGCTGCACCGTGGGCCTCATGTTTGGATCGGCGCGTTCGTCCTCGTCCTCCTTCCTAATCCTCCTCCTGTTCTTCCTGCTCATCCTTCTGCTCATCCGCCACCACCTCCGACTGTACGCAACTCCACTTATTCGATTGCGCATAACACTGTGAGTTTCTTTTTGGAATTCCATGGGACGGGTTAGGTGGGATGGTCAGGATGTCAGATATGGCGCGAGCGCACCCAGCCTGGCTTCCCCCTCGTTGTCCTTCTCCTCACGCTGTGTTCCTTCTCCTGCTTCTGCGCGCGGGTCTCGAGGCAAGCGCGCCCGTGCGCTGACCCACTGCCGCAACAGCGTAGGAAAAGAACACGAAATGGAACGGAGGGAGGCGCAAGAAAAGGATCAGCACGCGGAGCGAAGCGAAGTCGGAGAATGAGGCGGAGTGGGAGGATAAGAAAGGAGGGAGGAGGGATGGACGACGCAGCGGCGATCGGAGGAGATGTGCTATGTTGCATGACTGCAAGGTTCGACCTGCTGCTGCTGCTGCTGCTGCT